TCAAAAATAAAAGGAACAAGGAAGCCAATTCCAACAACATGGGGCCAGTTTCCCCAACATCATGGGGCCAGGGGAAGCCATATCTGTATAGAATTTATAATCTATATTAAAAAGGCCTTGCTCAAATGTAGGAAGAGGATGATTGTAGAGGAACAAGCAGGCAACTACTGATGAGTCAGAAGCTCTTAAACAAAAGCATCGGTAGTTTAAACTGGCTTGAAATAGGAATTGGAGTAATGAGACATAAGTATAAAATGGAAGGTTTAGAAATACCCAAGTGTAGTGTTCCGGATTCAAAGGATGGAGAGAGAAGTCAGGAGCATCTGCAAAAAGATGACTGCACTAATCTGAGTATGAAATAACCAAGGGAAACAACCAGAAAAAATGCCAGATTTCTCCATCAGAAACTTCCTGATCCTGGGATGTTCATTATCTTCACTATTATTTATATTAACACTGGAAATATTGAATAGAAATATCAGGCAAGATATACAAATTAAAAGATTGGAGATAAAAGATGAAAAATACAAACTACAAGCATTTGCAAATGACTTGGTTTTCATAGAACCGCTTGAAAGAAGCATTAAGCTTATGGAGAACCGCTTGAAAGAAGCATTAAGCTTATGGAGAAAATAGAAGAATTTGGAAAAGTGGCAGGGTTGAAAATAAACAGAAAAGACTAACTAAAAGTGCTAACTAAAAATTTAACAGAAAAACAAAAAAACCAACTAGCAAAAAAACAAAAAAACCTTCAAATAGTCAAAAAAGTTAAATATTTGGGAATTTATTTAACAGCAAGATGTGCAACAATAAAAGAAGACAATTATGTAAGATTGTTAAAACAAATAAAATTGGATCTGGAAAAGTGGAAAAAATTACAACTTTCAATGCTGGAGAGAATAGCAACAGTGAAAATGAATATCTTACCAAAAATAGTCTTTTTATTTCAAACAATACCTATAAGACTGGGAAAAACCTTTTTTGATGAACTAAATACAACAATACTGAAATTTATCTGGCAAGAAAAAAAAAGCTAGAATTAGACTGAAAATGTTACAAGAAGCAAAAAAAAGTGGAGGACTTGGACTGCCGGACTGGACGCTATACTACCAAGCAACTATATTAACATGGCTAAAAGAGTGGATAATGCTTAGAGATAAAAGACTATTATACCTTCAACTTGATGGCATGCCTTTCTGTGGTATGGGAAGAATAAAATACATAGATACTTTCAAAACCACTTTATAAGAAATGCACTTCTTCTAGAATGGGAAAAAATAAAAGCGAAAATCTATATTAAAATACCTGGATGGCTTTCAACAATGGAAACATTTGTTTACCCAAATTTAATCAATTACGAGAAAGTTGTGACCTATAAAGATAGTTTGGACAAAGAAGGGAAATTGAAAGACTGACAAGATTTACAAGAACAAGGTATTTACAAGAACAAGGTATCATAGTGGCCATACTTTCAAATTCAAACGAGATATGAAAAAGATGCTAAAACAACGGGATTTTATAAAGAACAGACAGAATTTGACCAGATACTGCTAAAAACAGATGAAAAATTGATTAAGAAACTATAAATATTTGTTAAACTTAAAGATGGAAGAGGAACAAGTAAAAGAAGCAATGATAACATGGGAAAAGAACTTTGGACATAATATAGAATTAGAAAACTGGCAAAGATTATGGGAAAGAAATGCTAAATTAACGAAGGTGGTGGCTTTGGTCAAAAATACACACATGGTTGGAAAAAATGACTAAAAAAACATATAGATTTCAAGCCAGAACTGTTTCTGTTAGGCATAATAGGAGGAAACTACGAGAAAGATTGTATATATCTAATTTTACATGTATTAACTGCAGCAACAGGAAAAGAACTAATTAAGAAAGTTTTAGATTGTGCAGAAATGGACAGATTGACATTAAAGATAAAAGAGAAAGAAGACTCAGTGTACATGGGACAATTTTTACCAATGGCTAGAAAAGCGAGTTAGAGAGAAAGGAACATGATATATACTATGTAACATGGAATATATACTAGTAAGAAGAAGATTATTGAGTGATTAACTAACATATTGATTATGATAATATAGAAATTAACTCTTATTTATTGTTTTTTAAATACATGAACCCAGACAATATGCTGTTTGCTAAATATTAAGAATGTTATTTTAAAAAAAACCCAACCCTAATCCTAACCCTACAAAATTAATAAAATATATACAAAAAAAGAAACTCCCTGATCCTATGAATACTTATGACACAAAAATATACAACTTTCTTTGTGAGAGTCATAAATTGGAAGAGAATCAAATGAACATAAGTCAAAAGCCTGAGGCTTCAGTGGAGGACACTGGAATAATTTGGGAATCAGTAGACTGGAGGAAAACACAATAAAGAATGAAAGGGACCATTAGGCTGAAACATATCAACCATATACAGTGAGGTGATGAAAGGATATTGAAGATGAAACGTTAATAAGACATTTCAATATAGCGAACTATGTGTATTCATCAAAGACTTCAAAAGACTAATAGATCTGAATATCAGCATTGGGTGAGAATTAATTTCTCAGACTAATAAGCCTAGCAATAATTACCAAATGCAAATAATTATTGGACAATCATGGATGAAGCACACAAGGGAAGAATATTAAGGATAAACAAAATAGATTTCAGGACTGATTCTCAAGGGGAAACCCCTGGACTGTGATCTGCCGCACAGAATGCATTTCTTTAAGTACAGTATAATAGTTTGCATTTGCAATAAAACATAATTTCAGTTAATAAAAGATTATTATTTTACAGATAAATCTAGTTAAAATATGCATAGCAAAACATACCTGTAAGAGTACTAAAAAAAAGTACTGCATGTATTTCAATTCCCTCCCCCCCTCCCAATTGTTTTCTTCTGTTTCAAATTTTCTGGAGATTTTGACTCTGCCTCAGGCAGTTTTATCTCCTTTTGCATGCCCCTAAACATTGTTCAAGTCTGCTCTAGAAAGTTGTAGAATATTTCTTTAATAACTTTAGGTATTGAATTGGAATGTTAATATATTTTGAAGTATACAGAGAATAAAAATTCTGATATTTAAATACTTGATACAGAACAAAATCTGATAAGGCAGGCCTGTGTGAAGAGATAACTCTTAAAAAAACCTAAATTATATAATAGTAGGTACCTTCTAAATGCTGCAGTACAAAACTTTCTAGAAAGTAGGTCCTATTACAGAGAAAGTATATGTGAAGTTGTAACAAAAATCTCAAAAATCTTATGACAGCATCTGATAATCTTAGCCACTGCCCAGCCTGTTTCTGGAAAGGCAGTTTCTGGAAAGGCAGTTTCTGATCCAAAGTTGTTTAGGCCTTTTCTGAACGTGCTGAAAGCAAAGCTTTGAACCTGGCTCTGTAGCTAATAGGTAGGTCACACAGTTGATTAGCTCTGTAGCTAATAGGTAGGTCACACAGTTGATTCAACATTGGGCATGTCTAAGTATGTCACTGTAACTTCAATATTAGGAACTTGCAGTCATATTGCAGTAATTTAAAAATGGGTGACGGTGGCTAGCCTATTCTTTTCCAGAAAGCAGTAAACTCAATTACCAATCTGGTAAATGGTAATAAATGTTTATAGCCATAGAGTCACATTATGCTCCAGTAAGATTGATGAGTCTTTGAGCATTTCAAACAATATAGCCAACACTCCAGAAGGTAGTCTTAAGATACAGGAGGATCTGGACAGACTTGAACACTGGGCGCTATCTAACAAAATGAAATTCAGTTGTGAAAAAAGTAAGGTTCTACATTTAGGCAAGAAAAAACAAATGTACAGGTATAGGTGGTACCTTGCTCAATAGTACAAATGTATAGGTGGTACCTATACAAATGTATAGGTGGTACCTTGCTCAATAGTAGTAACTGTGAGAGGGATCCTGGAGTCCTGGTGGACAATCACTTAAATATGAGCCAGCAGTGTGCTGCAGCTGCCAAAAAGCCAACACAGTGCTAGGCTGCATTAACAGAGGGATAGAATCAAGATCACGTGAAGTATTAATACCACTTTACAATGCCTTGGTAAGGCCACACTTGGATCCAGTTTTGGTCACCACGATGTAAAAAAGACGTTGAGACTCTAGAGAAAGTACATAGAAGAGCAACAAAGATGATTAGGGGACTGGAGGCTAAAACATATAAGGAACGATTGCTGGAATTGGGTATGTCTAGTTTAATGAAAAGAAGGATGAGGAGGGACATGATAGCAGTGTTCCAATATCTCAGGGGTTGCCACAAAGAAGAAGGAGTCAAACTATTCTCCAAAGTGCCTGAAGGCAGGACAAGAAGCAACGGATGGAAACTGATCAAGAAGAGAAGCAACCTAGAACTAAGGAGAAACTTCCTGACAGTTAGAACAATTAACCAGTGGAACAACCTGCCTCCAGAAGCGGTGAATGCTCCAACACTGGAAGTTTTTAAGAAGAGACTGGACAGCCATTTGTCTGAAATGGTATAGGATTACCTGCCTGAACAGGGAGTTGACCTCCAAGGTCTCTTCCAACTTTATTGTTGTTGTTGTTGTTGTTGTTGTTGTTGTTGTTGTTGTTGTTGTTGTTGTTGTTGTTATTATTATTATTATTATTATTATTATTATTATTATTATTATTATTATTATTTGTTCTATAGGAGTATATGGTGCCCCTAGAATAAGTATATATCATATGCTGGTGGGGGAATTTTGGAAGCTGAAGTCCACATATTTGCTGAGATTGAGAAACACTGTGTCCATACTATATATTCTGTAGCTATTTAGGCATGCATCTGATTCATATATTAAGAGTGCTTAGGCATTCTTTTTCCCATGGGGAAAGTAACGGGGCAATTACTAGTGCAGCAAATGAGTTACATATCTGCAAATAAATCTATTTCTGCCTGCCTCTTTTTATGATCAGTATTGGTATAGATCTTGGCTTTCAGAATGGAAAATTTTGGTTTTTCCAGGAGCCAATGAAGTCAAGAGCACCACAACTGCACTTGGAATACAGATTCTACAAGCAGCTAGGGTCTGGAGGTAAGTATAATTTCTTAATAAGTCTTCTCAGACTCTCTAAATCTGATAAGGCAGTCAGGTTAGCTTTTGTCCTTTCATTGGCAGGCAAGATTTGATCAGTTTTTACTCAGCCTTTTACCCTTAAGTCAACTTGTGGCTAAAAGCTAAATAACCTGGTTAATTAATTATTTCTAATTGTTTTGCTTTAAATATATTTTAATTATTTAAATAACATAATTTTATTTTTAATCAATATTTTACTTTGCAATATCTGTATTAAATTGGGAAATTGCCATTTAGATTATGAAAGCTTATTAACTAGAACATTTTTGCTGTACTAGACAGTGAAACATTTAATGATACGTATTATTGATACATAGCAAATTAGACATTTTAGTGTAGTGACATTTAGCATTTGCCTGATAAGCTATTCACAGGTAAAGTCACCCATCAAAGTACCTTCATCCTCGTAATTCATCCTTTTCAAACTGCCTTGTAATTGAAAAAGAAGTTAATGTGCTTTAGTCATATGTGGCTATAGGTTTGATACTACATACACAAGGTAAATGTTTAATTTTTTAAAAGGTACAATAATCTTTGATAAGGCATCATCTATTCAAACAAGATGCTCTATTTCTCATTGAGAGAGCTAGGTAAAAATTTACAAGCATTTTATACACATATTTCCTATGACTTGCATTATAAAAGTCGTCATTGTGAGATAAGGTTTTGCAGAACAAATTTATAATAAATTAAGATTTCACTGATTTTCAAAATGGACTTGTTTGCTATTTTAGATATTAATGAAAGGTGTCCTCGAAGCTTTAAAGTATATCTACTGGTTAGGCTTGCAGCAAAAAGCATTAGCTATTTCCTTCATTTTTATTAAAGTAGTCTCATTAAAATTTTTATTTATAATGAAGTGGGAATTTGTTACAATGAAATTTGAGGACATAAAGTGATTTTTAGGAGAAAAATGTTACAGGTTATGCCTTTGTACAATTTTATTGAAATTCATTATTTGATTTGCTTATGAATCATTNCAGTCTTGATTTGATCTTGCCCATGGACAGAACGTACAACTCTGGCTCTTAGGTACAGTCTAGACTATCTGTGAATCTTCCATCTCTACTTCCCACTTTTTGATAATTGTTAATTAATTCGGTCTTCCTTACCAAATTATTCAGTTTACAAAGGATTTCAAAGATCCTCAGTCACCGTTTTTCAGCTCTGTCGTGTAGGAGGGGGAAATAATTATAGGGAGATAGAAGGGGGCCCCTTCTCTCTCCCCTCCCTCCAGGAGCTTTAAAACAAGGCGACTGAGTTTCTGTTGGTCTAACGGCTGTTAGACCCCAGAGAATCCTTCGGAGTTCGCGGCTGCGGCTGCGGCGATCGGCAAACCGATCCCTTCCCTTAAACGCTGGAAGAGCAGCCATTTAATTCGGCTGCTTACGGCCCCTCGATTCCCCAAAATACAAGCTGACCGGGCGTGCGCGCACCCCACACGGCTCTCCGATCAGCGCTCAAGCGGCTGATCAGAGACGCGAAAAGCGGTCGATTTTTTTGATTTCTCGGAGCGCTCGCAGCGTGTTTTTCTCTTTCGGGCCATTTCCCTCAGTCCTCGGGCCGAATCCGACCGTTATTCGTGCGCGCGGCCGCCATTTTGAAATGCGCGGCTGCCATTTTGTAACGCGCGGTTGCGAAACGATCGGCCCGGGGCGTGTGGCGGGGGGGAAATTCGGGGAGAGGAATTCCTTCTCCTTTTTGTTTTCCGTTTCTTTGCTCCATTAGGATTTGATTGACAGTTTGAGGGACGACCTAGGCTTACCGATACCTACAGTACTTGGATTAGCCATTTGGGCGCGGCCGCCATCTTTGACAAGCTGTTTTGATTTGCATAGTGAAGGCCCTCAGCGAGGCCTTGTGGTCTCCCAGTGGTGGGTCAAGTTACGGTTTGGGGCCATCTTCTTTCAGTCAGGACGCCATTTTAGGCTCTGGCCGCTATTTTAGGGTCGGGTGAAGATTCCCTCACATAGGCCTGGGAGTTCAGACCTGGCCTTAACAGTAATAGATTTATAAATTACATTTACAATACCAGTGGTCTGGCTTAATCATACCATTTGGACATTCTCCTTCTCGGTCTTGGTGTCTCTTGCTGTAATTTAGGCCTCATTGTCGTTTGGGCGCGGGGGAGCACCTTGCTGTGCTCCTACCTTTGGGCCTCAGGATACAAGGTGGTCCCACAGAGCACCTTATATTATCCTCTTTGAGCAGAGCGGATTCCAGGCATACCCGGCTGTGTGTCTGTCCTGTCCGCATAAGAAAGCCAGCTGCTCTTGTTGTGTCCGGGTTTCCAGACGTACACTATAGTGCGCCTGTCCTTCCCGTTGACTAATTTTCTCTTGATACCGGGGGGTCCCCACGAGTCCCTGTGTTATCGGAGAATGGAGGCTACTGGCCCTCCCTCTAGGGGTATTGTCCCCTCTTCAGCGGTTCCCGCAACTTCTGTCCAACTTCCTATGGAGGAATCTGACAAGACCTCATCCAAAAATAAGGTCAGGTCCACTAGTAAAACCTCCAAGAGGGCAGAGAAACAGGCTAACAGGAGACACCAAGCCTTAGAAAAAGAATTCTCTAGGGCGCAAAAAATTGCTAGAATAGATAATCCCCCAACTGAGGGTCTGTCTTATGTCCACATGCCCCAACCATCACACCATGGGACTCCAGAAGCTACCTTTACCCCCACGGCAGCTGGGCTTTGGCCAACTGAGCCGCCTTCCTTCCCTTCGGAGGATCAACTGGCCCTATTAATTGCGCAGGCGGTTGACCGCGCACTTGACGCAAGGGCCGTACCTCCTAGACCCATAAGTAGGGAGCATCTGCCCATGCTTGATCAAGGGCCGGAGACTCAGTATGCCCCCTCCTCACCTTCTGGATCTTCATGTTCCGAGGGATTGTCACTTCAGGGCCAGAACAACGAGCAGGAGTACCCTATGTTTGATGAGGAGGAATCCTCTACTCAGGCTCCTCCATTTAGTGGTATGTTTAACCCTTCCTCCTTTGTGACCTTACTCCGCAAGGTCTCATCCACAGCACAACCCGGGGCTGAACCTTCCTCGTCAACGGTCACGGTTTCACCTGACTCAGAATTCGATCCGAACTTTACTGAGCCGGTAGCAACACAACACCGGATTCCTTGTCCCCCCATGTTTCTGACCGCTGTCAGGAAACAATGGGCGGCTCCGGCCTCCCTCCCTCTCCCAAGTGCCACGGACAAAAAGCTGTACAACGTGGCCAAAGACTTGGAGGAGGCTCTAGAGGTGCCTGCTGTGGATGAACCTTTTGGACCCTTAGTTTCCCCTACCGCTATAGCTGGGGATGTTTCTGATGCCCTCAAGGCGGACGACCGTAAGTGTGAGTTAGCCTTTCGTAAGACTCACCAGGCGACTGCTTGGGCAATTAGAGCGGCCACCTTGGCATCCTTTGTCAACAGGGCTGCCCACCGCTGGCTTAAACAGCTCCAAGCCCGTGCCCCGGAAGACAACATTCGGTCACAACAGGAGCTTAGTAAGATGGTGGCGGCCCTGGAGTACGCATCAGATGCAACTCTCCAGGCTTCCAAGTTTGCCTCCAAGGCCATGGCATCCAGCATCTCGGGACGCCGCATGCTTTGGCTCAAACATTGGCACGCAGATGCCAAGTCTAAGTGGCGTCTGGCGGCGGCTCCGTACCAAGGAGGCAAACTGTTTGGCGAGGCTCTGAACCTCTACCTCACCGAGAATAAGGATAAGCGTAAGGTCCTTAGCCATATTCTCAAGAAACCAGAGAAGCGTCAGAATTATTTTTCCCGTCGGCAATCCTTTCGGGCCGGGAACAGGTATAATTACTCACATCCTTTCCGCCCCTTTCCGGCCAGACAGGACAGACAGGACAAGCAGTACGACCGACAGGCAACCAAACCCAGACAACAGTTTCAGGGTAAGCGGCCCTTTCGAGGGAGCGGCCGGCCATTTCGTCGCTCCAGGTGACTCCCTGACGGTCCCTCCCATTGGGGGCAGACTGTCTCTGTTCGCCCACCAATGGGAGGCTACCACCACGGACGCATGGGTCCTCAAAACCATAAATTCCGGCCTTTTCCTGGAGTTCAACTCCGACCCACCGACCAGATTCATCTCTTGCCCATACCCTCGAAATCAGGCCAAGAGGGCTCTGATGGGCGAAGCCATCCAGCATCTGCTGGACATACGAGCCATAGAAACCGTTCCGGAGGACCAGATAGGTCGGGGATTTTACTCCATACTCTTTGTCTTGCCAAAAGTGTCAGGGGGATGGAGGGCCATTTTGGACCTAAAGGCCTTGAATTATCATCTTGTATATCGCAAATTCAAGATGCAAACGCTCAGATCCATCTTAGGAGGCGTAAGAAAGGGGGACTTCCTGACGTCTATCGACCTCACGGAAGCATACCTCCATGTCCCCATCTCTCTCGCCCACCGGAGTTTCCTACGGTTCGCATACAAGGGCCGTCACTATCAATACAAGGCCCTTCCCTTCGGTCTTTCATCGACTCCCAGGGTGTTTACCAAGATCCTGGCGGTCTTAGCAGCTCACTTAAGGATGGTACCTGTCAGGGTTCAGTGTTATCTGGACGACATCCTGATCCAATCGTCTTCCATCCATGCCGCCAGGACAGATCTCGAACTGGTGGTAAAGCTGCTCCAGGACCACGGGTTCTCGGTAAACTTCCCCAAGAGCCACTTGGTCCCCACTACGAGGTTACTACATCTAGGGATCATTATAGACACAAAGGAGTGTCGGGTGTATTTGTCTCAGGAGCGCGGGACAATTTAAAAAAGTCCATCCTCCAGATTCACAAGAGACGGACAGCATCTGTCATCAGCTTATCCAAACTACTAGGGCAAATGGTCTCAACTATTGCAATTGTCCCGTGGTCCAGACTTCACTCCAGGGAACTGCAGTGGTTTCTGCTTCCCTTTCAGAGGCAAAACCTCAGCGCCTCTCACCAGAGGGTGAAGCTCCCATCTCAGGTCTTGAGGTCTCTCACATGGTGGCTGTCCCC